GGTTACGCCGAGAGCCTCGAACAGCACTTGAAATGGGATGGAACCATGGCAGACTGCCCCCCTTCCCCACCCCGTCCCCAGAACTACACATGCTGGCTATTCTGTTTCGCAACATGTTCTCTATCTATGGCACGTCTCTACTGGGATTTGTAGTTTTAAAAGACATTTTCGTATTTCCCATAATAAGAAGTTGCCAGTATTAAACTGTGTACATCCCTGGAGGTTTAGGGGATAGGAAACACTCAAATGTAAAACATATAATTAATAAATGGGTGAAAATTGCTTGTGCCCATAATGGGCAGCATTAATATATATACACAAATGCCAGCTAAGGTCAGAAGAGCTTTATTTAACAGCTGGTCTTATGTTTGTGACCCCTGTTGTTAATTGATAACATTACATTACATTAATTGATAAGCCTAAAACATGCACTTGTCAAGGCTCAGAGGCAAATTTTGCAAATATGGCAGTAGCCATCGATCAGCTTAAGATAAGATATACTTTATTGATCCCAAGTTGGAACATTTGCGTTACATCAGCATGTGTAACAGTTGTAAATATGCAGTGGTGTTTATTTGTAAATCATTTAGTATAATCACACAAATTCTGTGTTTTATATTTAACTATTCTGTGTTCTTTATTTATTGATTGTTCAATACCTGACAAGGCCGGAGATGAAATATCTACATACATCTTATAAGAGTATAATACATTATGTATAATATCAGTTAAAATAAGTGCTTCAACATAGTTAACATTGCTGGAGGTATGCACAAATATTGATAGATGTCTTGTAATGCACTATTGAGGAACCTGCGACCCAAGTTTTTCATTCAATGCATAACTACACCATAGTTGTGTAGGCCTATATGATATGTCAATAAACCTTAGAAAATCTTGAAATCTTGAAAAGGATGTGCAAAATAGTCATTATATACAGTCTTTAATTAACTATTAGTAGAGAATAACGAGTAATGAATATACTTGATAGGGATCCTATTAATATCTAATAATAAAAATAATGAAATTCAATAACATGCTTTAACCATTAGGTGTCCCTTTATATCAGCTGTGCACCTTTATGGTGTAAATACAGCCTATCTACCAATTGGATCAAATATAAAAGTCAGCCGAATTAGTGTTGATACTGCAAGGAGACGTATTGTGTGAAAAGAAATGTAAGATGTTGTTTAATGGCTGATATATTTATGATCCACGTCACGTTTTCAGTTCCTCATGTTTGTCTAGAAGTCTTCTCATCAGGGCTCTATAAATACAGAACTACGGCAGATATGTAATATTTAATGCAGCCGAACCGTGTATTACAATGCCGTTATGTGATGACTTTCAAAGAGAAAAGCAAGCACACTCGGAATAAAGTATTATTTTATTTAAAAAAAATGTTTTCCAGAAAGGATGCACTTGCCTGCCATTAATGTAGGTTTTCATATTCTCAGATCTATTTTATTCAACTGAACACTCACATAATTCTTAGTCTACTAGATATATTTTTTGAATGATTAAGGAAACAAAAATAACATTCAACCTAATCTGAGAAATTGGGGAGTGAGTCTGCCAGTGACTGGCCACGGCTCCAGAAATTCATTACACCTGCTTGTGGTTTCTCTCTGCTTTCTGCAGTTGTGCCAGCACACTCCACATTTGTATCAAATGAAGTCACCCAGCAACGTTTTTTTCCCCTCTTTCTAATAATTCAAAGTAATTTCGCTTCAGGGCACTTAATTTGCATTTTTATTGGAAACTCTTGACCACACATAATTGAAGTTACATAGGTTGATCATGTAGTGCAGTAGTGCATCATGTCTCACAATGAGATTTAACAGGTACTCTTTATGCAGATTTGTTATACATTTTCAGGCTATTTTGTACATTTGTAATGGGTGATTCAATGTTATGACTTTTTCATGCCACAAATGTTTATAGTCTCATAAAAATGATGTAGCTACTGTATTTTTTCCACTAAACAACTTTTTTTTCTAGAGAGACCTAAAAGTGATTAAACAAATAAAGACAGAAAGGTGAATGCACCATAGAGTAACATATACCATCAAACTAAGGTGAGAGATGTTTCTCTGCCCGAGGGCGTGTTGTCTCCTGCTGTAAAGAGCTGTGTGGGTACCAGGCTACATATTAACACAGAGAGCATACAGCCCTGTCCAAGGTTGCTGTCCGATGTATGACTCACTTGTGACCCTCAGTTGTTGTCGAACCGAGGCAAAGAACGAGAATGCATCTCAGCTTCTGTAAACATTGTTGGTTTCGAAGCTCTGAGGCTTTGGCTCTCTTTGCCACATGCTGGCATTGCATTCATTACTGGCCCTCTGCTTTCTTTTCTCTGTAATGTAGCACAGACTGGACTGAGTTAAGATGATTCTTGAAACTAGAGAAAAGTTGAGAAAAATCTTCATATACCCAATTTGTTTGCATTTAAAATATAGCTATTCTTTCATCATTTGTCAGAAATGTTTATCCAAGAAAAATACTGTGTTGTACGGAGCCCTGGAGGGTTCATAGAGAGAAAAATAAATAAAACGTGGCCACGTTTTACTTTCTCGTGCGCACGCTTTAGTAACTCGTGCGCACGAGTTACTAAAGCGTGCGCACGAGTTACTAAAGCGTGCGCACGAGTTAATAAAGCGTGCGCACGAGTTAATAAAGCGTGGCCTCGTTTTGTGTGTGCGTGTGCTGTTCGTGGTCATTTGAAAACAAATGCTGGTGGTGTCGGATACACACGAACACGCACACAGAGCGGAGCTGAGCACACACACACACACACACACACACACACACACACACACACACACACACACACACACACACACACACACACACACACACACACACACACACACACACACATCATGCGCCCCGGTGACAGGACATCTCCTTCATAAAGGAGGGGGAATAATCGGGCAGTTCGATGTGTGTGTGGTTAAACGTAGCAGCCTCGATCTCTATTCAGCGGTTCTAATGAAGGGAAACGCAGTGAAGTAAACAGTAAAAGGCACAGCTCTTTGCAGCTGGTGCTGCTCTTCTCAGATTCTGCTGAGTTACACGTTACTGCCTCCAGTGCCCTGTACGACGAAGCCAGTTCAACAGACCCTGGACCTGGATATGTTCGATTTACCCGGCTTAACTGACCCTAACAAACGCGATGTCGATAAGCGGTCCTACGAAGCTGGTTATCAACTCAGTAAATCAACCAGGGTTTATCTGTCCGGCTGAGAGCGCACTCACGTGAAAGGGACGGGGTTAGCAACATTTGACCAATCACAAACATGGAGACGCGTGCTGACAGCGCAGCGTCATACTTCATGAATGAATAGTGTAAATAGCAAATCCTGCTTCGTAGTACAGGCCACTGGTGCCGCTGAGATTTCATAAAGTGAAGGAGGTTTTCCTTCTATAAAACAGCTGTGGGCAGCAGATACTGTGAGTCACGGACAGGAATCCCTCAATTTAAATAAAACGAGGCCACGCTTTATTAACTCGTGCGCACGCTTTATTAACTCGTGCGCACGCTTTATTAACTCGTGCGCACGCTTTAGTAACTCGTGCGCACGCTTTAGTAACTCGTGCGCACGCTTTAGTAACTCGTGCGCACGAGTTACTAAAGCGTGCGCACGAGAAAGTAAAACGTGGCCACGTTTTATTTATTTTTCTCTCTATGAACCCTCCAGGGCTCCGTAGTGTTGCCACGTTTAAAAATGTTTTTTTTAAATTAGATACACCGCCACATCTGTTGTTAGATGATGCCATGTTCATAAGTTAGAATCATTGTTAAAATTAACAAGTCTTGAAAAATATCTTGAAAACACAACAATCTCAAATAAAAGGTTAATAGTCAAGATAACACTTGATATAGATACTAGTAGACTTTTAAAGTGATGCTGTGTACATCTTGCTGCAGACAAATGTGCTACACTAGCTTGGTTTTAAACCCCCCCTCATCTAAGAGAAACAACATTAAAGATGAAATGAAAGAAAATGGCGGTTCAGTCTGAATATTAGGCTTCTGCTCCACTGTATTAATCAAGTATATTAGCAACCCAGTGGTGCAAGCATTCTTTTAAATCTCCCCTCCAGATCTCCCTCTTTGCCTTGTTGATAAGAGTATAACCACTTTTTTGTTATACGGTAAAGAAAAGGCTTGTGGTGCTGCTGACTCACTCGGCTTTGGTCCTTTGGAAAAGCTGAAACCATCATCAGCACTTATGCTTTATCCAATAAAGATAAATTGTATATTAACTAAAACGTTATTATTAAGATACAGATCCTGAGACTGAGAGTAAACTATTGGTAACTGTGATGAAAAACATATATAGAGCTTCAGCATGTATCTAAATAGAGAAAATAAAGATTGACATAAATGACACTATGCAGTTTATTCAACACTAGCTTTGTAGAGTTTATATAATTCAGCTATATATTGTTTTAGGCTGTAGTTTGATGTGTTGTAGGTTGGTAGATCTTGTTATATAAATCAGGAACACTTTCGATGATTTTTGGTAATTTTGTTGTGCCTGTTTTTTTGATGATTCAAAAACAATAAATCACCATGCATCCATCTGGGATCAGTGCACACACTGAACAAACAGTACCTCATAAGCAACAGATGATTGTTTCTTGTGTCCTTTATACTCAGCTGCCAGTTTATTGGTTTCAACACGTTTAAATAAATACAGCCAATCACTAAATCCTATCCTCATGAAGATCAAAATGTTCAAGTTTTGTTTTTGAGAGGTGTTTATTTATCTGAAAGGTTGTAGTTCGTGGTGCTGTTGAGTAACACTGTTGTAATGTTCTGTTCTGCCTCATCTATGTTGCTTCTCAAAGCATATCAAACTAATACACTTCATATTCCTTACACTTATCTGAAATTGTCAAAAATGTCTGAATGATCAGCTGCTTTTTTTATCAACTGTTGGGTTTCTTTGAAAAAATTATAATAACTTGATCGGCATTTTCCTCTTTTCCAGGTTTGACTAGGAGGCTGTCCCTCCTTGAATTTCGGTATTCCTCAGTACTCATCTTGACGTCAACCCCTTGAGATTTGGAGAGAGGATTCTTTACATCCAGCTTAACTTCAAGTCCCTGACCACCTGATCAGGTAACCAAGGCAACATGCCATATGTGTTGCCAAATGTGTATGAGTCTTTTAAGCAAAATCACTGATCAAATGATTCGATTAAAATGAACGACACAAGCTGTTTGAAATGCTTATCCATGATGTTGATAGTACTGTTTATTTTTTCAATGAACACTATAGTACTCCTTGACATCACTTGCAAGGTGAATGTAGAGCTTCAGCGTTTACACTGACAGTTTCAGAAAGGTCTATCCTCCTGATGTGTCTCTACACAATATATTGATGTACTGTCAAACACTCCCTAACTATACAAACAAGATATTCTAGGAATAACATGTGGTTCTGACCACAGGAGCATCCAAAATCAATGTTGGCGATATTATAATAAAGACATAATCCATAAGAGTGCACCAGGATTGCTTTGGCGTCTCGCTGTGCATGAATACATGAAGCCAAAAACCAGCCAAAACCTCATGCGCCATATATTGAAAGCCCGTTTAGAACCACATTAATTGATCCTAACATTTGAAATGTGGTGAATACCTGTCAGAAAGAGAAAAAGAAACATTTGCAACAAGAGAGACACACAGAAAGAATGGCCGCAGATGAAATGGCTGTGTGGGTGGATGTACATGTGAGTGCAGGCTGCTATGAGCTGTGAGTGGGAAGTGGGCACTGAGTGGGAAGAGAAGAGCTGCTTTAGTGAGACGATCAGCACCAAGGCCTGCTGAAAGGCAGTCACGCTTTCATGGCTTTTCTTTGTTTCCCGCACTTAAACAAAGACAGAGTTCCAGGTAGGGAGGGTAGTGATGGGTGCTGGATAAGAGGGTTTTGATACGTGCCTGCCAACGTCTGTGTGCTGTATTGGTGAGGGTCAGTAGCTGATGCTTCCAATTACTTTCACGCAAAATCATATTAACAAGACTGCACATAAACATGATAGAATAGACTTAAAAGACTGGACAGAAATGGCACATTTGGGTCAGAACATGTACAAAAAACAAGTTAATAGGAGGTCTTACAACTGAGGCAACTTGTGCAAGAAGCTTTTTGGTTTCGTGACTGATTTACATACGTTTTTGTAGATAACAGGAGAAAAATATTCGTTTAAATCACTATTTTAACATATGAGATACACAAATTCTTAATTTATCCTTATCCCTATGTAGTAAAGAAAATTGTAATAAACAGTGGTGTAGATCCCTGCCAAAAAGAGCCAGGCTCTCAGTGAGCCTTCCTTGACTAGATAAAGGTTAGCTACAAAGGGATCATGAAAGATCAGGGTCATGGTTAAAATAAACTAGCTCTAGGTAAGAGACATGATGCAGACCACAGTCTTTGGTGTGAAAGTCAGCCACTGTTCTTTTGGAAATATAGATCCTTTAAGCGGGAAGAAAGCGGTGTCTTTTTGTGTTCTACCCGTTCTTATACGGTTATAGGCTTTTAAAGGCCCATCTAGAACTAATGACATAATACCTGGTTTAAAGCTGCTAAGAGGCATTATTTTATGCCGCTCAACATCTTTTTACCTTCATGGCAAAAAAACACAAGTGTGCATCTTTCTTTGAAGAAAAGCCTTTGAAGCTGCATCTAAAGTAAACCAAGCTACACCTCTTCCTTTAAAGCTGCTCTAATAAGGGCTTCTTTTGACAGCATCTTAAAGCCTGCTCGAAGTGAGCTTCATTTCAGGTTTGAAAAAAGGACACAGTAAAAAATAGATACCAATGGGATTGACACTAACATATTAATCTAACCCTTTTAGATAGTACAATCACTAATGCGTTACTGTGAAGATCTACTGACAAACACACATTGGCTCCAACAGAAACAGTACTAATGAATTGTTTTACCTTTTGACATTTTCCTTTGTTTAAAGGAGTTTGATAAGACGATTGCCACCGCTGTTGTTTCTTCATCTTAATCCATACAAAAATATCTGTTTGCCACACTTACATTTTGCACTTGCTCTTTGTTTTGTGTTCATTCTCAATCTTTATACTAAACTAAGCTCTATTTACCTTACAGGCATGAGATTTGTATATTAATTATAATAATAATTAACAAAGTAAATAACCACATTCCTAAAAATGTTTAAACGTACGTGCATTTCATTGCTTTTACATGCCTATACACATATACAGACATGCAAGCCACACTGTATATACAGTACACACACACTCACACGCACGCACACACGCACGTGCGCGCGCACACACACACACACACACACACACACACACACACACACACACACACACACACACACACACACACACACCAACACGTTCTCACTCCCATCCCGTCACATATTGACGGACGGTCAGGGCCCCTCCCCGTCGCTATGTGACGTACAGGGTACCCCTTGCCCGTCAGGCTTCTACGGGCAGGGCGTCCCATAGACCTTCATTGCGGACAGCGGACCCCTTGACCGTCAGGCTTCTACGGGCAGGGCGTCCCATAGACCTTCATAGACCACGTGATCAACAACAATGGCCGACCTTCGTGTTATTCTCGGTGGAAAAGGCCTATTTGAAGGTTCATTTGGCCAATAAAATGCGTTTTGATGTCATTTTGTGCGATTAATATGAGTTGTTATTTCTGATTATTTGTGCAGTACATGTACATGATGTTTAGTTTGCTAGTTATGACGAAGATTACTTCATGAATGTGTACACATTCATGGTTGCTAAGGTGGTTGCTGTGGACGCTGCAACAGCTCCCAGACCACGTGATCAACAACAATGGCCGACCTTCGTGTTATTCTCGGTGGAAAATGCCTATTTTAAGGTTCATTTGGCCATTAAAATGCGTTTTGATGTCATTTTATGCGAGTAATGAGTTTTTATTTCTGATTATTTGTACAGTACATGGACATGATGTTTAGTTTGCTAGTTATGACGAAGATTACTTCATGAATGTGTACACATTCATGGTTGCTAACGTTTTTTTGGTGGAAATGTGTTTTTTCACAGCAAAGTCACCCTCTGTACTTGGACTTATTGGGAGAATTTAAAGGCAAGAACATCCCAAATATTCATTTAGGTCTTTATTTTAGACCTTTAGTGTTGCCGTCTGTGAGGAAAATAAACGGGGCTCAGAGCCTCGTATTTTTAAAATCTTTTTTTCCTTCTAATTTGTTATTCTTCTCAAAATAGCACACTGTTATTTACTCACCAATAACACACAATTATCCTTGCTTTTATTTATTGGTTTAATTCCATAATCTCGGGCTTTTTTGGCGTTCGCCAGGAACTGAATTTCAAAATAAAAATAACCGGAAACAGACGTAGGCCTATAAGGGACATTTCGAGCATCATTGCGATTGTCAACATTTTTGAGTTTAGGATGGCCGAAGACACTACACTACCCATAATCCCCAGCTATCGTTTAGGACTACAGTCCCCGTGATTAATCTTCAAGGTCTGGGATTGGATGTTGGAGTGGCAGTGCGCCAAGGTTACGCCGAGCGTCAAACAGCTGTTTGAAATGGAACGAAACCACGCCAGACTATCCAAAACTGGAATCGAACGCCCCCCCAGAACTACACGCTACACTATTGTGTTTCGCAAAATGTTCTATGGGACGTCTCTACTGAACGTTTTCCCCACAATTAGAAGTTGCCAGTATTAAACACATTGGTGTTATCAAATGTAAAACATATAATTAATAAATGGGTGAAAATCGCTGTCCCACATGACAGCTCATTGATACTTTATAATTCTACTCCACTACAATTCAGAGGTTAACCTGGTATTTTTACTCCACTACACTTATTTTAGTTACTTTGCAGATTCTGATTAATGATGTGACATATAAACAACCCTTAAATCAGACTTTAGTTACACCTGAGTAAAATGCAGGTAAGGTGATTGTCAAGTGCCAACAATCAGGAGAGATATTTGATAGTTGGTGCTTGAGAAGACTAAACATGTATCTGCAATTGACATGAATGGAAACGAGTAATAAAGTATATTCATTACTCGTTATTCTCTACTAATAGTTAATTAAAGACTGTATATTATGGCTATTTTGCACATCCCTTTCAAGATTTTCAAAGGTTTATTGACATATGATATCATATACACAACTACGGTGTATGCAATCAACAGTTTATTACAAGACATCTATCAATATGTGTGTCCCTCCACCATTAAACTGTCATATTCTGCACATTTCTTATTCTATCTATCTACATAAGAGTATAATCCATATGTATAATATCAGTTAAAATAAGTGCTTCAACATAGTTAACATTGAAGGAAAGCAATATATTAGACGTTAAGTACTTTGTCAGGCTTAATATTTATCTGTAGATAGATACCCCCAAAGTTTTTTTCTTATTTAAAAGAAGACCTTAATCTGTTATTTAATGTTTAAATAAAGGTTAATTCGTTTTTCTGTTTTGCACCTCCTCCTATTAATATCTTTGTACATTCTGCACTAAACTGTTTTATTGTAGAGATCACTTATAGTATCTTCTTGATTTTTTATATTCTATATTTATACTTTTCCCCCTATGAAAGTATGTACTCTTAATATTTTTTTAAACAAATAAAACACATAAATTCAATAACGTGCTTTAACCACTAGGCGTTGCACACAAGGTACACACAGCCATAATAACTTTGTATTATTAGTGTTGGACACTTGTATGTACAACATCTGAAGATGTGTAGTTTTATTCATGCTTTCACATAATTTTACAGCATATTGCTATACTATTTCAGACTCAGTATTTACATTCTTACATTCAAAATGCAATCCAATTCAAATCAGTAATATCTTTAAAAACTACAAAACCTTTTATATAAGCTGTGCACCGTTATGGTGTAAATATAACCTATCTATGAATTATATCAAATATAAAAGTCTGCCGAATTAGTGTTGATACTGCAAGGAGACGTATTGTGTGAAGAGAAATTGAAGATGTTGTTTAATTGTTGAAATATTTATGATCCACGTCAAGTATTCAGTTTCGGTGGCATTTCTTCAGTTTTTCCAAAGGTCTTCTCATCAGGGCT